TAACTTCTGGAGATTGCAATGAAATTAAATGAGGGAGAATAAATTTTGATGAACTATAAAAATTAAATAAAAAGAAGTAAAAAAGCAGTATGTTCGGCCGGGCCGAACTTTGAATACCCTCCACCATATGGAACGAATTAAACAATTTTCAAAAAAATAAAATCCATTAAATTTTATTTTAAATCTTTACAATATCTAATATAGGAAGGTGCCGATATATGGGGGTATATATAATATTGTGGACTTATTAAGACAAATCTATGTCTGGGTGTAAAGTACTCACAAGGAACTCCTTGTGTGGATTTTCAGATAATTATATTGGAAAAAGTGGCTAAAATCATCAAACTACTGAATATCGGGGGTATCGTTATAGAGGGGATATATGATATCGTGGACCTATATAGGCAATTCCCTTTCAGGGCGTAAAGTGCTCACAAAGAACTCCTTGTGTGTATTTTCAGACAATACGATTTGAAAATGCGGCCAAAACCATGAAAATACCGAATATCGGGGATACCGTTATATGGGTGTTTTACGATATAATTAACCTATATAAAGAATTCTCTGCCGGGGGTAAAGTGCTCACAAAAAACCCCTTGTGTACGATTTCCGTTGAAAAATGTGGCTAAAATTATCAAAATACCGAATATCGAGGGTTCCGTTATATGAGGGCTATACGATATCATGGACCTATATAGATAATACTCTGCCGAGGTATAAAGCACCCACAAGGAACTCCTTGTGTGGATTTTCAGACAATTCCGTTAAAAAATGTAGGTAAAATCATCAAAATACCGAATATCGGGGTGTACAGTTATATGGGGGATATACGATATCGTGGACCTGTATAGACAATTCTTTTTCAGAGGAATTTTGTGGAATTTCAGACACTTCCATTGAAAAATGTGGCTAAAATCGTCAAAATACCGAATACCGGGGGCACCGTTATGTGGGGGCTATACGATATCGTGGACCTATATAAATAATTCTCTGCCGAGGTATAAAGTACCCACAAGGAACTCCTTGTGTGTATTTTCAGACAATTCCGTTGAAAAATGTGGGTAAAGTTATCAAAATACCGAATATCGGGGGTACCGTTATATGGGGGATATACGATATCGTGGAGCTATATAGACAATTCTCTCTCAGGGGGTAAAGTATTCACAAGGAACTATTTGTGTGAATTTTCAGACGATTCCATTGAAAAATGTGGCTAACATCTTCAAAATACTGAATATCGGAGGGTACCGTTATATGGGGGCTATACAATATCGTGGACCGTATAGCCCATCTTCGAACTTGACCTGCCTGCAGACAAAAGAGAGATGTGTGCAAAAATTTAGCTTCCTATCTTAATTCGTTTAGACTGTAGCGTGATTACAACAGACGGACGGACAGGGCTAAATCGTCTTAGAATTTTGCGCTGATCAAGAATATATATACTTTGTTGGGTCTAAAATGATTATTTCGATGAGTTACAAACGGAATGACGAACTTAATATACCCTCCATAATTTTAATACCCTCCATCACTGGCTAAAAAAAAAAAAACATTTTTATATAAAACGTTCAAACGTGTTCAACTTGAAACTACAAATACCAGTAAGACCGTTTGGATAATGCGGTTGAACTTTTCAAATACCATAAAGTGGATGAGGCCGTTGTATGGGGGCCATACCAAAACGGAATATACTTCATATACGGTATATACTTATATACTTCAAGGATTGTCACCTACCAAATCCTCTTAAATACCAAAATTGTAACAATTTCTTGGGTAAATATGACTAGGATTATTAAAATAACGAATATCGGTGGGTATCACTGGTAAAACGTGAAATATTTAATGTTCTGCCGCCGGAGCTCGAACCCATTATGACTACAATTACTAATTTTTTGACAAATCCGTGGAAAAATCTGGCATTTTCAATACCAAGCATACTAGACACAATAGAAAGTGTTGTGCTAAATTTTGAAGCTGTACGTCAAATAATGTGGACTGACAGACAGACCGTCATCATATAATCGACTTAGAATTCTATGCTGATCATAAATATATGTATATACTTTATAGGGTCTACAACGAATATTTAGGGATATTACAAACGGAATGACAAAGTTTATGTTCCCTCCTTTTCAAGATGGAGGGTATAAAAATCTAAAAAGCATAAGTCGGTTTTGCCGACGAACATTTATATCCAATTTTATAAGAAATTATGAATTCCCATAATTTACATATTCATATCAGAATTCTGGTCATATCAGATCATGTCATGGCAGATATAAGTATTGGAAATTGTGACCCTTTGTAGGTGAGATACAAGAAGGAGTTGGCAGAAATGTTGTGTTGGCAAAAATGTTTGGATGTCTGAAATTTGGAGAAAGTTGAATGCTTATTTCGCGTTTTATGAGCATTTCGTTTTACAAAATCTTGAGCCGGGGGACGTACCAGAAGAAATGGTCCGATTTCTACCATCTTTATAACAGATCATGTGTTGATAAAAAATATTGAGATGTGCCAAGTCTGAATAGAATTTGACGTTAATTTTGCGTTGTATGAGCTTCATGGATACTCAAAATTTTGACCCTTTGTGGGGGAGGTACCAGAAGGAGTGGACCAATACATCCTATCTTTACACCAGATCTTGAATTAGCAGAAGCAATGGGACGTGAGTAATATGAAGAGAACCAATGTTTATTTTGGATTCTTTGCATGTTTTAGTTATTCAAAACTTAGACCCTTTGTGTGAGAGGTACTAGAACGAATGGTCCGATCTCTACAATATTCATAACAGATCTTGTGTTGATGGAAATATTGAGATGTACCAAGTCTGAATAGAATTGGATGTTAATTTCGCTCTTTATGAGTTTCATGGATATTCAAAATTTCGACCTTTTGTGGGGGAGTTACTTGATGGAGTGGACTGATATTATCCATTTTTGCACCTGACCTAGAACTGACGTAAATATTAGGATTTGCAGAGTTAAAACAAAATCGTATTATCGATTCTCTTTCTGTGCAGAAAATTTTTTTTGAAAATTTCAACCCTTTGTTGGGGAGGTGCCAGAAGCAGTGTACCGATATATTCCATCTTAACACCAGACCTTAAATAAATATAAATATTGCGATTTGTGAAATTTGAAGACAATCGGACTCTTGCATCACATTTTATGAGAGTTGTAATTATTTAAAACTTGGACCCTTTGTGGGGGAAGCACCAAAAGGAATGGACCGATATTGTTCATTTTCGCACCTGACCTAGCACTGACGCAACTATCAGGATTTGCAAAGTTGGAAAAAAATCGGATTATCGTTACTCTTTCTGTGCAAAAAATATTTTTTTTAAATTTGGACTTTTTGTGAACGAGCGGACCGATATCGTCCATCTCCGAACTCGATCTAAGTTTAACAACAATATTACGATGTACCAACTTTGGATCAAATTGGATACTCCCTTCGAGAGTTATCATGTGCACCAGCCAGACAGACAGATAGACGAAACGGACGGACGATCGACGGACATCTCTACATCGACTCCAAATGTTTTGAAACGGATTTGGTCCAAAGAGACCTTGGGTCTAAAACCATTATTTCGACTAGGCACGTTTTGACCGTATCAAATGATATATACCCTCTGTAGCCATATGGCTGAGGTTATAACTAGGATATGCGAAATGTTAAAACAATCGGACTCCTATTTCAGATGGTATAAAAGTTATGATTATTCGAAATTATTACCCTCTATGTGGGAGGTACCGGAAAATGTCGGCCGTTATGGACCATTTACTAACCTGTTCTAGTTCTGCTAAAAATATTGTGATATTTCACGGTTGACCGATGTCGGATACACCTCCGCTCTATGTGGGTCATTCAATTTTTAAGATTTAATAAAGTTTAACCATTTATAGGGGTATCACAACAGGAAGACTAAATTAGACTAAAATAAGCCATCATAGACCTTGATCTAAGTTTGACAAAAATATTAGGATGTACCAAGTTTCGCATACGTTTTTTGAAGGTTATCGTGTACACCAATCGGAGAGACATTTTTGAGGCATCATATGATACCCTCAGCAGCCAGATGGCTTAGGTACATAACATATTCCCCGTATTTTTCCAAGAAATATTACCAAAAACACCATATAACTTACTGCAAGAAGTATTTTCTCGGGAATTGTTAAATACCCTCCACCATTTGGTAAAAAATCGTTTTTAAATAAAAGTATCAGGATTCAAACGTGTTCTACTTTAAACTGAAACTACCAGGGACATCTGCTGGAGATAACATTACATTTTTACAAATTACAATAAAATGAGTGGAACCATTATATGTGGCCTATACCAGTTAATAGACCTGATTCGAACATTTTTTGCAAGGAGAGTCAAGTTTCAGCTGATTTGGTTTGAAATTGTGGCAGGAAACTTCAAAATGCCTTAAATCGGGAGATACCCTTATATGAAGGATATACCTAAAAGTGGACCAATATAGCCCATTTTTAATATCAATCAGCCTGTACATAATATAAAAATCTGTAGCTCCAAAAACCTTGACTCTCTCGTAATTTCAACTGACTGACGAACAGACAGACGGAAGGGCATCGCTAAGTTAACTTAAAATTTTATGCTGTAATATATAATTTTTAGGGTGTCCGACGAATATTTCGAGGTTTTTGTAAACGGAATGACAAATGTAACAGCCTCAAAGATTCTCAGATATCCTTCAGGGAATCACTAAATTTGGATTTGACTTTGCCCCATATTAAGTTTTTCAAACTCTGTCTAGCAACAGGGTTGTGGAGACATTGATCATTGGACTCAGTATCAATTACATCTAAATAATGCCTGCAATGAATGACCTCTCTCTTAAAATAAATGGATTTTAAATCTTTTTCGCTTTTTTTGTAAAAAATATGCAGCAAGATTAAAAGCTGTTGACAAACCCGCATATCTTTCTCTACTGCAAACACGAAATCCAAAAAAAAAAAAAAAACTCAACTTACCCGAGAAGAAAGCTGGATCTTTTGGACCATTTTGGAGCCTGCTGCACTTCATTGGATAAAAGTCCGACCATAATAAAATGACTTACTTATTCCCTTAATGGCCTAGAATCCGCTTATAATTTCAATTTCATTTGCGATTCCAGCGGCGAAAAACTTTCCTGCTATTCTCTACAACGAAGCCATTCACACAGCGCTATGGAGACGAACAATACAAAATGGCTACAGCTACACCTTTGTTTGCGTAGGCGGAAATCCAGTGGGACAACGATGGCAGATATTCTTCGGAAAAAAATCAAATTCAATTTTCTTGTTTTTACTTGAACTCGGAATGGATGGAAAAAAATATATGCCTGTGTGACAAAAAGTTGTTATTTTTGTTTGGCATTAAAATTCATGGCCTTCCTAAGTAGTTAATTATACCCTACACCACATAGTGGTAAGGGTATTATGTCTTTGTGCATTTGTTTGTAACATGGAGAAGGAAACGATATAGACCCATAGTTACTTTTGAGAACCTTCATAGAATCACTTTCTGAGTCGATTTATGCATGTCAGTCCGTCTGTCCATGTATTCTTGTGAACAAAATGCAGATCGCATTTATTATCCGATTGAGATGAAATTTTCCAAACAATATTTTTTTGGCCCAAGGACGAACCCTATTGAAATTGGTGAGAATCGGATCAAATTTAGATATAGCTCCCATATATATCTTCATCCGATTTCGGGTTAAATGTGCACCAAATGTCCACTATCAGTCCAAATTACCTGAATTTTGGCACACCCAACCGAGTTCGGCCTAGAAGCAAGTATATCAAATTTGGAGAAAATCGGTTCAGATATAGCTATAGCTCCCATATATATCTTTCATCCGATTTGATATTTAAGTCCCTCACATTCCTACTATGCACTCCACAACCGTGAAATTTGGTACCAGGTATTAGATGGAGCACAGAAATAGCTGTTTTAAATTTTATCGAAATCGGTTCAGATTTGGATATAGCTTCCATATATATCTTCATCCGATTTCGGGTTAATTGGCCACCAAATGGCCAATATCAGCCCAAATGGCCCGAATTTTGGCAAATATGACCGAGATTAGCCTTAAAGCAAATACAACAAATTTGGAGAAAATCGGTTCAGAAACAGCTATAGCTCCCATATATATGTTTTACCCGATTTGGTATTTAAGCCTCTCACATTCGTAATATGCACTCCACAAGAATGATATTTGGTACCAGATAAAAGATACAGCCCAGAAATAGCTGTTTGTAATTTTATCGAAATCGGTTCTGATTTGGATATAGCTCCCATATATATCTTCATCCGATTTCGGGTGATTGGCCACCAAATGGACGTAATAGCATCAATTTTGGCAAATCCAACCGAAACCAGCTTAGAAGCAAGTACACCAATTTTAGTAAAAATCGGTTCAGATATAGCTATAGCTCCCATATATATCTTCATCCGATTTCGTGTTAATTGTGCATCAAATAGCCTATATCAGCCCAAATGGCATGAATTTTCGTACATAAGACCGAATTCAGTCTAGAAGCTAATACGTCAAATTTGGAGAAACCCGGTTCAGAGATAGTTATAGTTCGTAAAATGCACGTAGATTTTGATTTTGTACCAAATATCTCATAGAGCTCTGAATTGCCCTGTATAAACCTTTTTACGAGAGCTCTACTAAATATGCATAGTGGTGTAGGGTATCATATAGTCGGCCCCGCCCGACTTTTGAGCTTTCCTTACTGGTTTATAACTAATATCGTGTTTTTGTTTTTGTTCTGGTTTTCATGCCCATTGAAATGGTATAAATAAGTTAACATTTTGTAATTACCCTTCGTTGCCATTAATTACAAATGACTATAAAAGCCATGCAAAGCCCTTGGCGCTGAGATGATGACAAAACCAAAAAAAAAAAAAAAAAACCCATTGTGGTGACTTAATTTGTTGTCCTTTTTTATCAATTCATATTATAATGGGTTTTTATGACATACGCACATATACATTTTTATGCTGATTACAGATTATAAATACAATATCTTTGTGGTATTTTTAAATAGGAGATCCCAATAACAAACAAACAATAACAAACACACATACGTTTCAAACCAGCTGAAAAACATATTAATACCACAAGTGGAAGGCAAATCATATCAGCTTCATATTTACAGACAATTACTAAAACTGGGATTAAATTCAACAGGGTCAAAAACTTTGATCCTCTGAGGTGATGAATACAAAATATTTTAATATTCAGTGCAAAGAATTTTTTAGAGAAAGACTGTATGATATTACCAACATCACTTAATGCAGAGCTGCAAATTGTGGAACAATTGATTATTTCTTAGCGAACTTCGAATCTTATGTCTTCTTTGAACTTCGAATCTTCTGTCGACTCGAAAAACAATATCCTATACATTTTTATGGAACAAAGCTCTTAGTTTTTATAAGTCCTCACTCAGCAAGGAAAAATTTCAATGAAGTTTACATGAAATTTAAAATTTGTATACCCTTTACCGTACGACTACCGATGATATACATGATTTACATTTGTCTGTCCGTGAGGTTGGTGTTCGAAAGTATCACATTTGGCAAAACTTGGTTTATAATTAATTTCAAAATTACATCATACACGGAGTAGGGTAATATCGGTCTAATCCATCCCCTTCTGGTGCCCCTACATAATGGTAAAAATGAACGAAATTATAAAATATCGGCCGGTATCATAAAATATCTTCCAGTACCTCCTTTCCAAAGGTTAAATTTTTTGAAAAAGGAACCAGTGAAGAAAGTCCTAAAGTAGGGCGGGGTCAACTTTATGATACCTACACCACTTTGCTAATTTAGTAGAGCTTCACATAACAATTAAAAGTTTTTATGGTAGAATTCAATCATACACGCTATGATTATAATTATAACTTAAAGTTCAAAAGACTAAATATGCCGAAGCGTTTGTATCTTTTAAATTCGGACTTGTATTACCCATTTGGTGCAAAATTAATTTGAAATCAGATTAAAATATATATGGGAGCATATGCAAATCTGAACCGATCTCGATAAAATTTGGCAAATATATTTCTGAGCTGTATTTGATATATTTCCCTATCATTGTTACGGAGTGCATATTACGGCTGTGAGTAACAAATACAAAAAATCGGATGATTATTCTAATTGCTGATTATTCAAATTGCTGATTCTCTGTGGAGTAGGTTCAGTAGGAATGGGCCAATACTGTTCATTTCGTATCGCACCTAAATAAATATGATAAAAATATTGCGACGTGCCAGGTTTGGACTAATATTGGTTCATTCCTTCACTTTATATAATATATGTGCAAATTTTTGGACAATGTGGAAATATGCGATAGGTAACAGATATAGCCGACAGATACTAATATTGGAAATCGAACATTTATATCCAAATTTATGCTATATCATAAATTTCGCTACATTACATATTCCTATCTGATTTCTGGTTAAGATACATATTTAGATATAGCAAGTTGTCAAGTATCGCCGTCTTGTTTTATAAGTTATGACAGATATAAGTATTGGAAATTGTGACTCTTTGTGGGTGAGGTACCAGAAGGGGTTCGCAGATATATATCACTTTTACAACAGATCTTGTGTTAGCAAAAATGTTTGTATGTGTGAAATTTTAGGAGAGTTGGATGCTTATATTTATTTTTTTCGAGCGCTTTGTTTCTTTGATCGTTTTGATCCTTTGTCCCTTTATGGTAGGAGGTACCAAAAGGAATGGTCCGATTTCTACCATCTTTATAACATGTCTTGTGTTGATGGAAATATTCAGATGTGCCAAGTCTCAATGGAATCGGATGTTTATTTCGTTTTTTATGAGCTTCATAGATATTCAAAATTTCGACATTTTGTGGGGGAGGTACCAGAAGAAGTCGACCGATACTTCCATTTTAACACCAGATCTTGAGTTTATAAAAATATTGGAATGTGTGAATTTTTTTAGACAATCGGCTTCTTACATCACATTTTATAAGAGTTATAAATATTCAAAATGTTGACATTTTGTGGGGAAGGTACTTAATGGAGTGGACAGATATTGTCCATTTTCACACCTGATCGAGAACTGAGGCAAATATTAGGATATGCAAAGTTGGAGCAAAATCCGATTATTGCTTCTCTTTCTGTGTAAAAAATATTTTTTTTCTTGAAAAATTTGACTTTTTGTGGGGGGGTACCCGAAGGAGTGAACCGATGTATTCTATCTTAATACCAGACTTTGGATTAATAAAAATATAGGAATGTGTGAAATTTGAAGACAATCGGACTCTTACATGACATTTTATACGATTTGTAATTATTCAAAAAATTGACCCTCTGTGGGGAAGGTACTTAATGGAGTGGACAGATGTTGTCCATTTTCACACCTGATCGAGAAGTGAGGCAAATATTAGGACTTGCGAAGTTGGAGCAAATCGGATTATCGTTTGCCTTTCTGTGCAAAAAATATATTTTTTTGAAAATTTCTATCTTTTGTGGAGGAGGTACCAGAAGGTGTGAACCGATATTGTCCATCTCCGAACTCGATCTAAGTTTGACAAAAATATTACGATGTACCAAGTTTGGACCAAATCGGATATTCCCTTCGAGAGTTATCGTGCGTAACATCCATTAAACCAGTAAGGAAAATTCAAAAATATGATACCCTATACAACTCTGCATATTTAGTAGAGCTCCTGTTATAGACTAATATATTTGAAGTAGATCATACCACCTAGAAATATTTAGCTTTAGAGCAGTAATAATATGGATTCAGAGGTAACTAATATAAGGGAGGCATATCCAAATCCAAATCGATTTTCACTAAATTTAACAGAAACATTTTTATATTTTATACCAAATGACATTGCTATAAAGTGCATGATATCACTTCGAGAAGATTTTTTTAAAAAAAATATGTATTAGAGCCGAGTTCCACCAAATAGACACGCGCGCCTCGAAATTCACTCCATTTGGGCTGATATTAGCCATTATTTGCTGAAGCTGAAGTCGGTTTTGAGGATATATATGAGAGCTATATCCAAATCTGAACCGATCTTGATAAAATTTGGCAAGGGTATTTCGGAGCTCAATAATATATCTAGCACCAAATATCATTCTTGTCGAATGCGTATTACGAATGTGAGGGACTTTTACACCACATCGGATGAAACATATATGTGGGAGCTGTATCTGAACCAATTTTCTTCGAATTCGATACCCTTTCCTTTAGACTGAATTCGGTCGAATGTACCAAAATTCAGGTTATTGGGACTGATATTGGACAATTAACGCGAAATAGGTTGAAGATA